GTTAATATATATACAATTATACTTGAAAGCCATCCTAATATAAGACATATATACTTATATATTGAAAACTATGTTGAAGTAAGTTAATACAAGTCAAAAGAAGTCAAAATAACAAGTCTAAAGGCATGAAATTGTAAGCTACTTTAAGGATTTCGGTTCAAGGAATCTTGGAACACGTTAGGACTGAAATCACTTGCTTTTAGGAAGCTAGAATCGAAATCAATTGTCTTATGGAGGATAGGACCGAAATCACCTTTCTTAGGTGATCCCATGATCGAAAACACAAGTGTAAAGCCTATTAAGGACCGAAATCTACTATTGTGAATGTATACTAGGTGATTTCGGTCATACCTTGGCTGAAATCACCCTTAGATAGTCCGAAATATCTTTAAAAATCTAGATATTCTTGCCACTTGTCTGGTGAATACTCTTTCCAAGAGGATAAGATATACATTCCAACGTAAACATCACCTCAACCTCCTATCTTTTCCTTCCTATTTAAGATATAAAATGGAATCATTTAACACTTCCAGTCAACGAAATCCTCCACAATTTCACTCAAATATCAAACCTCTTTTCTCTCAAATTCACCTTCATATATTCCCAGTGATCAAGATCTTCCATAATTGATTGTAAGTTCTCTACATATTATTTAGTATTTTATGAAACACTTGTGTTATTAAACCACTTTATTCACACACTATTGTGTGTTTAAAACCATTAGGATTACGACATCCTTCCCATATTCTAGGTCGAAGTCACCTTTTCCATCCCGTTATCTAGTCGAAATCACAGCACAGGTGAGTTCATACCCCTACGTTTTCACGATTTTCAATTGTTTTAGGGGGGGATATAAGTAAAAGACAAGATATCTTGTGTTTAAAAATATAAATCTCTTATTATGTTTTTTTACCGTTAATATGCATTTTTACGTGAAATTATTAAATATGCAAAACATCGTTACTATCAAATTTACAAACATTTACAAAACATGTTAAAACGCAACAGTTTTCATTTCAGCAGAATATACAGTATAAATTATAATAGGTATAGGTTATGGTTCATTTTACAATAATTATACACTTAGGAATAACTATGGAAAAGTTACAATTTAAATTACTAAAAGGGTATTACATTTCATTTACTAAAGGGTATTACATTTCAATTACTAAAAGGGTATTACAATTCATTTACTAAAGGGTATTGCATTTCATTTACTAAAAAGGTTTTCAGTTCATTACTCGTAAACTCGTTGAATCAATTTGTGAGACGTGTTCAAGTACTTATCTAAGTGACAACGAAAGTCCTGGCTTATAACCAGAGTCTCTCATAGGGAGAGCGAGATATTTGTGTATAGATCTATACGGGACCGAAAATCCCGCACCTCAACTGTTAGCTATAGTTAGGCTGGCAGGATTGGGGTGACAAATGTTGTTAACGTTTCTGACGCCTGAAGAATGTTGTGTCCAGGCCATCTTAGGTCATAGTATGGTTATAAGAATTCACATGGAGAAAAAACGATACATTTACTGAGTAATATATTTTCATACAGTTTCATTTAAACATTAAATTTACATTTGCTTTATAGGGAAAACATACTTTCAAATAGGTTTACATAAGAATAAAACTACATTACATGACTTCTCAGTACAATACGGGTTACATTTCTAGAAACATACATTTAAAAGGTATTACATATTAAGACAACTACAGTATACTATTTTCCTAGTACAGTGCAACTTACATTTCTAAGAGAACTATTATTGTTTACTCTATGATTAATTAGGGTATACGTTAGGATTATATATAATAAAAATCCTATAGGCATTTAAATGTGTGTTTCCGCCTTACTTCCTGTTCCTTGTTTGGTTGTGGACTTAGGGCAGAGTCACTCAATCGACTGTCCGTTTGATCTTGATTATATATAACTTGTATACTCTAACTGCTCATAGGGGGAAACAATAAGGGTCACATCACTTACATGAATTAGAACTTCGAATTAGAGATTGTAGGCATAAGAAACTTATACATTTTGGTCTTAAGGTATTAAGACTACGATACATTTACAACAGAAAATATAGGATTTCTGGATGAACACACTTACATTTTCAAGGAACAAAGAACATACTTTTATACACGAAATACTTATGAACTCATCAACTTAAATGTTGACACTTTTTTAAACCACTTGTATTCTCAGGAAATTAGTAGACAGGTACCCTCACAGGTGTCACGAAGAAGGAGCATAGTAGTATCATGTCTTAGCTTTTGTTATATTTTTGATGTTAAACAACCAATGTTTTGAACACAATGTAAATTATATATTTTCAATATGATGGTTGTGTTGCTTTGATTACTATTATTCAATTGTTATGATATTGTACATGACGTCATCCACCCCCGAACGTTTTCGTCGTTCCAGTTTGGGGGTGTGACAGAAATATTCATCATAACCATCAGCATTATCATTATTAACAAGGGACGTTAGTTCCGAAGTATCCTTTTGGTCCAGTCCGGTTTTTACGAAAACTTGGTTTGGAACTGTTTGTACTTTCGAAAAAATTGTGGCTTTTTCATTTAAACTCCTGAACCTTTATTTTCAACAATACGGACAAACTCAATGGAATTTTTAGAAATGAAGTTTTTCTTTAGTTCAACCTCATTTTATACAAACGCAGAACAATCTCTCTCATTGTCTACAAAAATCTCACTCATGTTGCTTTCATCAAATTCAGAAACGTTTTCAGTATCAAAAGTATTTTATGAATTCAATTTTGTGCACAACGAGTCAAATTTTTGCATAGTATTAGATTTAATTTGTTCTTTATCCTTATCATCCAACATTTGTTTTACCATCTTCTTATGTTCTTTGGACTGAATGTATGCTTCTATTTTGTCAAGCCAAATTTTGTACGAATCGAAAACCTCATAAGAAGAAACAATAGATTCACACTTATAGCACTCTGCATCGATTTCATCCTCTTTCAATTCAAGAAAGGGTAAAATCATTTTGTGTATACTTTTACCTATTTCACAATCAAGATGCAGTTGAGTAATATTGAAATATAAACGCTTAGCAATTAAACAGAAAAGATTTCTTTGTTTCAAAAGTGCTAAATTGTCTCTCTTAAGATAAATGACATCATCCTTTGACCTAGTGAGCTCTAATTCCAAATTCTCTATCCACATTCTTCTCTCTTCACTTTTATTTGTTACCCTGCTGATTTGATAAGTTAAGTTAGCATTACTAAGACGAGTTCGTTTTAAACTATCACTAAAATTAGAAACAATATAATTTAAATCGTCTAGTTCAGTTTCATAACGAGTAACAAGAATATTAAGAGATTGGAGTATAAAGTGTACCTTATTGATGACCTTCTCACATTCTTTCACCTGTTCAGAAACAGGCTTCGCAACAAAGCAATTTTCAGTGGCTTGGCCACCATCAGTCGCATAGCCCCTTTGTTTCAAATACACTTTCTGAACCATTAGACATTTTCCTTCGTACTCCTGCACTTCATACTTTGCCATAAAACACCCACCATGTGTGGGTTTCCGAACCTCCTCATCTTCTGAATCTGTGGACCATACTTCAATACATCCATGTTCGTCACTACCTTCCTGTACAATCAAAGCAGGCTTTGCGTTCGCAGCACTCTTCTTCCTAAGATCCTTTATCTTTTGAAGATGGTAAGCTTCGTCCTTCTCTGTTTCTTTCTTTTTATTCATTCTTATCAGCATACACTCTTTGGAAAAATGATTCTTGCCCTTAAAGTAGTTGCAATCATATCCTGAATCCCCTAACAACTTCTTTTCCTACTTATCCTTTTCTTTTTTAGAGTTCTTGAAGCTCTCTTTTCTTGACTTTTCTGAACCGAAGTTTCCTTGCCTGTTCCCGTTCTTAAATCGACCAAAATTCTTTATAATGAAATTTTTGGGATTAGATAGCAATAGAGCATATTCCTCTTTGGTAAGTTCACTGTCCGAAAAGTCCGATTCAGAATCTTCTTCAGCTACCTTTTTGCCTTTCGCAACCAAGGCCAATGATCCCAAACTAGCGAAAAGCTTCACATCCTTCGTAACCTCATCTGCATGAGATCTGAGAATTCCCACGAGCTTTGTTAGAGAGTAACTCTTGAACTGTTCATGAGCTTTCACCACTACTAGAAAACAGCTCTTTAATGACGCGCATACAATGACACGTAGTGATTTACGATACGCAAAAGCGTGCGTCCTAAAAATAATGTCATATCTTCTAAAATTTGAAGGATAGAGGACACGCATTTGTGCGCGCCCTGAAATTAGTGTCAGGAAAGAAAAAAAAAAGAAATATGGAGGACGCCTATCATATAATGTGTGTCATCTAACCGTGTCGCTTTATATTTTTTTTTAATGAAACACGCGTTTTAAACGGGAAATGAAATCCCCAAAAATGGCCGCCTATTCTATGTGAAAAATTAAAACCCCCTACACTTCCGATTAGCAAGAAAGAAGCCTAGGTCTTCGTCTTCCTTTCTCTCTCTCTAACCTAAAACCCAACCTGCGATTTCAAGAGATCTCCCATGGCTTCACATATCTCACTTAAATCATAATAACAATCAATCATTATCTTCACCTATTTCTATCATGTGTCATTTTTCTCTCCCTTGTCCTTACTCTGATTGCTTTCCCGTGTCCCTTCCTCTTCCTCCTCCTCGTCGTTTTCGGTCGCTAATATGATGGAGTCGGATGAACCTGCTGTGTGCATAGAGGTTGAGGATTTCAGTCACTCACCTTGCCTTTCTTGCAAAATATTTGGTACACACAGGAAAACATAAACCCTAAAGGGCTTATACATCCGCGCCATCTCATATGAAGTCGGTAACCCCTCCTTGGCACTTACCACCAACAGCCACTCTACGCTAGGGTTTAGGGTTTATCATATCCAGGACATTGGTACAATACAAGAACCAGTTTAGGAATCCAACCATCTCTGTTTAAGCGTCTTCAACATAGAAAAAATGGCAACGTCAATCGCCTCACAACTGCAGGCAATCAGGTCAATTGTCAAAGCCGACACAGACCCTCTGTTAGTAACCATAATTTCTTAAGATCGATTAGTTATTCACCTTTTTCTTTCAATTTCACATTCGTCTCTCCAAAATTCATTTTTTGGAGCTAATTACTAGATCGAATCCCAGGTACGTTGTTGTTAATTAACCTTCCCTCTGTTAGTACTTGATTTGTCTCTCGTTTGTTAATTGCATTGCGAGTTTATATTGTTATTATTGTGATCTAATTTAGATTTCTCAATATCATGATCTTAACCTCCATTTAGAATCTCTCTAATTCTTAAGATGATCTTCTAAATGAATTAATTTTCAGAGCATATAATATGATTTTAAGGATGATTAGATGTTTGCTTAAGCTGATCATGATTCTCTCAATTTTTAGTGACGACTGTTCTAATCTATGCTTCCTTTCACAAAATCTTACATATAGAGACTACACAGTGGGAAATATGATGGTATTTTCTTCTGTCATCATTTTAATAATTTACAAGCACCATGGCTACTGCAAAAAGCTCTTGAACCTGCATTCCAGGGAGTTGGTTCTAAACCGGATCCTTACCCAACATCAATTTCTTCTATAATCATCATCTACTTTCAAGAACACTAGAAATTCAGTCATTATATGCATGTATGATTCGTTTGCATTTGTTGTTAGTTTTTCATTTAACACCTTGTAGAGGGCTTGAAATATGGAGAATTGAAAACTTTCAACCAGTTCCTTTGCCAAAATCAGATTATGGTAGATTCTACATGGGTGATTCATACGTTGTCTTGCGGGTTTGCTCATAATCTTTCACAATTTCTATTTCAGTTATAAAATTTTATTGTTTTAATCATTCATACATTTGCATACTTCTAATGGGAGAGGAGTGCTTATGGATAGGACCTACACTTCTGGTTGGGAAAAGATACAAGCAATGTATAACAACATCCTATATCCCAAATTAAGTAACACTTTCTTTTTTCTTTTTTTTAAAGAAAAGTTCAATTCAAATCAACTAAATGTGATAATCAGGATGAAGCTGGAACAGCTGCAATAAAAACAGTTGAGCTTGATTCGATTCTTGGAGGGCGTGCAGTGCAACATAGAGAGATTCAAAGTCATGAATCTGATAAATTCTTGTCATATTTCAAACCATGTATTGTGCCACTTGAAGGTGGTGTTGCAACTGGATTCAAGAAACCTGAAGAAATGGAATTTAAAACAAGATTGTACATATGCAAACGGAAAAGAGTTGTTCATGTGAAGCAGATTCAATTCTTTCGATCTTTGTTGAATCATGATGATGTGTTTATCTTGGATACTAAAGAGAAGATCTTTCAATTCAATGTAGCAAACTCAAACATTCAAGAAAGAGCTAAAGCTCTAGAGCTTATTCAGTATTTGAAGGACACTCCTTGGATTCAGAAGATGTGGAGCATAGTTCGATAAAACTCCTTAGGTGTGTTATGATTCTTTTCTTAATGTTTTACCGATCAAATTGGTTTTCTTTAGTTTTATCTTTTTATATTTTTTATTTCCAGTGGTTCCTCAGGGCATGCTGGGATGACTGGTGGAATTGGTCCAAATAATTTTTGCATGTCTTTTCTTTTAAGCTTTTTCATGCCCTTCATCATGTTTTGATACATGTTTAATCCCAACAAACCATGTTTTTTTTAATCAAGTTAACAACTTTATAAATTATTTTAATTTTTAGACTTTGAGGACAATGCCAGTTGTTGAATGCAGGTGATGGATACACCTGGGATTATTTGTTCATGATTTAACTGGACAATGTGGGATATCTCCTTCAGATCAGGTATGAAACTATAGTCATGAAATGGAAATTGCTACAACATAAAATTTGTAATATTTCTTATAGTTTTGGATGTTATATGTAATTTTTGTTTAAATAGGCACCACATGAGATCAATTGTTTGGAGCTTCCCCTAATTCAGCATTAACATTTACCTGATCTGGACAGATCTTCTGCTCTATTAAGTGGTAACTTCATCTTCTTATGATTCTACTTGCAGCTTCAACCTTCAAGTATGTTAACTAGGTTTTAATTCTATCTCTTTCTTGTGCTTTTAAGGTAGCAGCCACTACTTTTGATTGGATGATCATCACTTCACCTGAAGCTGAGATAGAGAAGGAGATGGATATTGAGAAGATGGACGATGAAACTGAGTCTCCAGAGCATAAAGAGGAGCATGGGCTAGGGCTACATACTGCTGGTATAGTGATGGAAGAAAATGCACATGGTGATGATGTAAATCAAAGTAATGAAAAAGATGAAGACGCTTCAGAGGCTGGGAACTCAGTTTCTGTCCACTTCGAGCTTCTAAGAGAAGCAAGAGAAATGTAAATGATTTGCAGACAGCAGAAGAAGGTGTTTGTAAGAATGATGACAGCAGCACTGAACATGTGTATTCAGCATCTGAAAAGGAAAAGGAGGATAAGGTTCAAGGAGGGACAGAGAATGTGAAGAACAACAAGGCAACTAAAAGAAATAAACTTCCTATGAGCAAAACTAAGAAAGATATTGGTCTTTCTAATTTTTTCAAACAAGTAACCGAAACAAAAACTGTTAACAAGAAGGGTAAACCAAGTTCCAGAGCGTGTGATTTTGAAGCACAGAAGGAAAATAAGCAAATTCCGATTGAAAATAAAAACAAACAGAAATCTGAGAAGATTACCCCCAAATCTGAAGGTAAACAACAAACATGAAACATCTCTTGAGTCTCGAGTCTTTACCTTGCTTTGTGATTGGTTCTAAGTTTAACTTAACTTGACAGTTGGATTCTCAAGACTGATTACTTTTCTGCAAGTAACGAGGCAGGAATGCGGATTGTCATATACGGGGAATGCATTGCACGCACTTTGGTAATTTTATTTTTTAAAATCTTGCTTTCACATAGCACCCAAAGAAAGGACCCGAGCTTTTATCTCGTGGAAATCTACTCGGGGTCTGTATTTTTTATTTTATTTTATCAGAGCAGTCTATTCTGTTTTATCTCGTGGAAATCTACTCAGGGTATGATTTATGAAGGTAGTTTCCTTTAGTCCCTTTGCTGGTGGTAATTGGGACAGAAGCAATTAAGTAAACTGTTAGCAGGTAAGATCATAAATTATAAATAACATATTTCCGACAAAACTGAATTCCACCATTTTAGCAAACAAACAGTAAAGAAAAGTCCATTCCTTGGCATAAAATAAATTGAACATTTACTTTATTGCATATATATATATATATATATATATATATATATATATATATATATATATATATATATATATATATATATTATTCTGTATTCTTGTTTTCTTCAAGAATTATAACCAAAAGTCTTGTACACTCAGGGATGATGACATCTATTACAATGCAAAGCCTGTGTGAGAAAGAAATTGCACAGTTCAAGTTGCTGATGCTGACATGGCACTAACATCATAATCTTAACTAAAATGACACTACTTACTTTACCCATAATCACGGACACGAACATCAAGCAGCAACCTTTTTAGCCGTCACAGAGTTAATGATGGTTGCAAAATCAGAACTCTGCATAATATAAATAAATTAATATTCATTTTATTTTTATTTTCTATTTCAATATATTTATAAATAATAATAATACCTTCAAATAAGTATCTTTTTAGCAAAATTAAAGATAGTGACATAGTTAACAGATTGAGGAAAATCTCAGTGGATGAGAATTTGGATGTGGAAGAGGATGCATTGGATTTGATTGCATTGAATGTAGAAGGGTCATTGCGAGCGAGATGCTGAAACTATATTTGGATCAGTTAAGTTTATTAGGAAAGAGAATCACCACTGATTTGGTGAATGAACTTGTAAGTATCTAATCTACTGGTTTCTTGATCCTTGTAACTTTTTATTCAAACTTTTTACTGATTCTTTTGGAGTTGATTGTAGGTAGGAGTTGTCTCTGATGAGAAGTTATTGGAACTTCTGGAGTTAGCAATGTCATCAAACACAGCTGAAACTGTGAAAAGAGCCAGAGAACTGATGGAATTGGGAGTTGACCCTATGGTCCTCATGTCTCAAATGGCTACACTTATTATGGACATTATTGCTGGAACATATCAAGTAATTGAAGCTAGTGCTGACTCATTGTTTGATGGTAGAAGCTGTAAGTTCTTCTCAACTTTTTTCTTATTATTATATTTTGATTACTATAAACTGAAACTATGGATGATTGCACAATTCTTCAGTGACAGAAGCAGAAATTGAAAGATTAAAGCATGCATTAAAACTTCTTTCTGAGTCTGAAAAACAATTAAGACTTTCAAGTGAAAGGTCAACATGGTTCACAGCAACCCTATTCCAGCTAGGCTCAGTCCCCTCAGCGGACCCCACTCCTTCCGGAAGCAGTAGAAGACAAAGCTCAAGCACAACCGAAGATGATCCATCTGCTACTTTCCGAGATATATATTTTCAAAAACAAAGGCAAGATTCCCAATATACCCCTCAAAAATCTACCCCTATGTACCCCCCTAAACCTATTCGCCAAAATTCACCTAGTCCAAAAGATACCCTTCTATCAATGAGGCAACTCATGAATGGGGATGCAATTGCAGCATCATCTGTCCCACATGATGATGATGATGATGATGTCATAATTGGAAATAATGTATCGAAACGTAGTAATTCAAACATACTGGATGATATTTGGGCTCATTGCATTGAAAAGTGTCATTCCAAGACTCTGAGGCAACTGCTTCATACTTATGGGAATCTGGTATCGATTTCTGAAGATAAAGGTAATAATTAAATTTCCATGTGCTCCAATTCATATCTCTATGTAGGATGCTATAATAAACAAATAACCGGAAATATGTTATTTATAATTTATATAAATCTTGCAGGAATTCTTGTTGCTTATATTGTGTTTCGGGATAAAGATATAAAAAGTCGAGCTAACTTCATCAACATAACTGGTTCCACACTTACATCTAAGGCACTCTACTTACATTTCTCCACTCCCCACCCATACATATTTTTTTCACAGTTCTCTAGTGATATTTTTCCTTGTTTCATAGAATGCATGATTGGCTCCTATCTTGTTTTTTGATATTTATACGCAATTTTTTTCATGAAAAAAAAAACATTTTAATATTATAATCTACATGTGTTTTTTAAATTTTAATATTTTATACAGGCATGAGCTGTATTGAAGCCTGGAATCTTGGCAAAAGGTATTTTACTACATGTGTATTAAACTTTAATATTTTATAACATAGATTGATGATGCTTGAAGTCTTTCTGAATACTAATGTGTTGATGAAAACAAGTATCATGTGAAAACAGAAGCATAACAATAAGTAGAAACAAGAAGGTGCCCCTTAATAGCAATATAGTATTAGGTTATATAGTTAGGGAAAACCTCTTAATAACAATGTACAATTAGATCCCCTTAATATCAATGTATTACAATTTTTTGACATGATGTTATTAGATGAAATTGATTGTTTTGGTATATATTTGTTTACATATTTTTGTATTATGCGTAAATAAGTATCGTAAACACGCGTCGTAAATGCATATCGTAAATGGTTACTGAAGTTTATGACACGCAAATGCGTGTCATCTTCATTTATGACAGGGGCTTCCTTGATACGCATTGCGTGTCATAAACACGCACGTCGTAAGGTTACGACACGCAAATGCGTGTCGTCTTCCTTTATGACAGGGCCTTCTGTAATGCCCGTGTTTCTAGGATAGGCATTAATATTGACATGAAAGTCCAGGTTAACCTTTGTGACTCATTTTGAAGAAATGAAAAGGAATTATGTGAATATTATGTGTTTTATGTGTTTTATGCTTAATTGTTAGGGTTTAATTAATTAAGACTAAAAATGAGCGTCGAAAATAAGTATTAGATAAAGCCGATATATATTAAGAAAGTTGTAGTGGTCGTGACAAGGATTACGGATATATAAAGAATGTCGAAATCCGAGTTATAACGAAGAAGTTATGATCTGTCGAAGTTTCGCGATAAACCGACACGGTGCCGAATGTCGTAAAAAGTGAGTTTTTGATAAACTATTTTTTAGCCTTAGTGATCTAAACGAAACTCGTAGTGTTCGTTAAACCGAGAGTAGGTATAAAAAGAACGCCCAAATCTGACTTCGTATGAGGAAGTTATGATTTTTCGAAGTTTTAGCTTAGCAGTAGACAGCTAAAAACTCGAATTTTAGATGGAGTGATTTTTAGCCGACACGACCTAAACGAGAATCGAAGGTCTCGTAAATAGTAGCACAACGGTAAAAAGACAGACGAAAACGGACATCGGATGAAGAAGTTATGAATTTTTAACGGATTACCTGTCCCGGTCTGTTAAAAATAATAATATAAAAATTAAAGTCAAAATTAGCAGACGAAGTCTAAACGAAAGTTGTAGAGCATAATTTTCCCTACGCGTGCATATAAGAACGTCAAAAACGGAGCCCGTATGAGAAAGTTATGAATTTTACAAGAATGGGCACAATTTTTGAGAAAATTCGCAAGGAATGGTGCTGGTCACGTGATCCTCGCATGCTTGCCTCGTGCCCGACTCGTGTGTCGCATGCTGATTCGACCGAGGGTACGGTCCAATGAACTTCCGACGCGCATCGTTGTTGTTGCCCCGTGTCCGAGGTGCTGGCCCAATCCGAAGCCGGCACGTAGCCTCCTCACATCCGAGCCTCGCTGAAGCAGCCAGCTGGTCCGAGCCTCGCAGACACCTGCCTCTCCCTCCTTGCTTCGGATCCAACCCCAGCTGCTATATATAGTGGTGGCTGCGAGATCTCCCGGGTAGAATTCCGAAATTTGTCATTTTTCACCCATTTTTCATCTTTTTTATTATTTTGACTTCCCCCGAAGCCCCGATATCGATTATAACCCCCAGAATACGCCCCGAAGTGCCCAAAGACCTAGAAAATTTATCTTTTCGGTTTCGAAGCCCGACCCTTGCAGATCCCGGTTTCTTAATAAAACTCCCGGTTTTATTAGAAACGATCGTTTAGGAAACGAATTGCTGCCCGATTTTCATTAAATCAGGTGAGTGTATAGTCACTTTCATCTTACACATAGATATGAAGTATTTTATATAAAATACGTGTTATGTGTATATATGTTGTTTGTTTATTTGAGGTGGATGTTGAATGAATGTTTTATACATGTTTAAAATTATTTAAAATGTATAAATATTTTATTTTCAAATATGTTGGGTAAAACATGGGTAGATAAAGAATGAGGGATAAAAGTACAGTATAGATGTACGTTGGTAGCTATGAATTTAGTACAGTATAGATGTACGTTGGTAGCTACGGATTTAGTACGTTGGCAGCTATGGACTTAGTGCCTGTTGTATAAACATTGGCGACGATGTGACTTCGTGCCTATTTGACATAAATTGCTGAGGGAAAGCAATGTTGTCACCCCGATGTTTGTTTTATTTGACATACATTGCTGAGGAAAGCAGTGTTGTCACCACATTGGTTGTTTTATTTGACATAAATTGTTGAGGAAAGCAATGTTGTCACCTTATTGGTTGTTTTATGTCAGGTTGTCCTGTTTGACATAAATTGCTGAGAAAAGCAATGTTGTCGCCTTATTGGTTGTTTGTTTGACATAAATTGTTGAGGAAAGCAATGTTGTCACCCCATTGGTTGTCTTATTTGACATAAATTGTTGAGGAAAGCAGTGTTGTCACCCCGATGGTTGCCTTATTTGACATAGATAGCTGAGGAACCCCCGAAGCAATGTTGTCCCCCCCCCCCCCTTAATGAAAATCCTTAGGCTAGGTCCCTTGTGATAGTTGTTTTAGGGACATAAAGTGAGGATAACGGGAATGGGTAATTAGGGTAATTTGGTTGATTGATTGATGTTTGAGTATAATAAATTTAATTTTTGTGGGTTGAAAACTCTATATGCTCACCAGGCTTCCAAGCCTGACCCACTCAGCTTTTTATATTACTGGTAGTGGACCCCGAGCATAGTCGGATGATGATGATGAGTGATTTTTGGATTATAGGCCAGTAGTTATAAATAACTGTTGTAAGGCTTATAATGTCTTGTTTATGCTTTTGATCTGTATCGGAACATGACATCCTGAGGTTTTGATATAAAAGGAAATTATATATTTCTTAAAGAAAGGTTTGACAAACTTTTATCATGTTTTGTTTTGGGGACCAATTCCGCAACATCTTTTAAAAAGATTTCTCTGATTTTATTTTAAAAAGCATAAATTAAATCGGTCTTTTCTGGCCGAGAAATTAGGGGATGTCACACCTTCCTTGATACGCATTGCGTGTCGTAAATGCGCGTCGTAAATGTGTGTCATAAATGTGCGTCGTAAATAGACGACGCGCAAAAGCGTGTCGTCTCTCGTTATGACATGGCCTTCCTTGACACGCATTTGCGCGTCGTCTGAGCGTTTTACGACACGCAATGCGCGTCGTAAAAGGCTGTTTTTCTAGTAGTGCACTGTAGACACAACTGCTTTCCATTCAGACCTTAATCCATTCATGAACGTAACCTTTTGCTCTATTACTTCACGCCCGAGATTATGCTTAAGCATCCTGCTCAATAGATGATTAAAACAATTGAAAGTCTAATCGAGTTTTTCATCATACTTCTGAACAAAGGCTCCAAACTCAGACAAAAGCAACGTTTGCACTGCTTGTTCCAAATCGGCATCGCTGGAATAAAGCTCTTTTAATCTATCCCATATTTCTTTTGTCGTATCACATGCACTAACCAAACGAAAATTGTCTGGTGGAAGAGAAAACCTTATTATTCTCATCGCCTTAATATTACACAACAACTTCTCATTTTCATCTCGAGGAACATTAGCGTGTTCAAGAAGAAGAGTATTGTATTCTACTTGAGTCTTTATAACCTTCCTTGTCGCAGTGTGTGAGAAACTCTCCTGAGTCATTGGTTGCCAAATGGTTGATCCATGTTCTTCAAGACGAAGAACATAGTCTTCGAAGTATAGAGCCCAGACTTCATAATCCTATGGGAAGAGGATTGGGATCCTTGTAGTAGATCCGATACTGTTAGAGAGATTGAAAGATAGAGTATGAGGATCTTCGTGATTCATCTTCTCAAGAGTTCACAGAAGCGAATATAGAATCGGATGTGTAATAACGTGAATTGAGATCTAGGGTAAACAAGAGATCTACATCTGGAGCCTACAACCGATTGAAGCATTTGAGACACCAATAATAGATCCAAGAAAAACGATACACCCTAGTGGAAACTCGACATAAGAATAGCGAATGAATTATACTATCTCCTGCTCTGATACCAATTGTAGACACAGTAAACATAAACGTTTGATTCTATAAAAAAAACGAGAAATATAAGACAAGAATGAAGATCAATATGGTGTTGAATGCTTAAATTAACAAAGCTCTAGAAGAGTTCAACGTGAACTTCTCTGTGAGAGCTAGGTAGGGTGATAAAATCGTTAACCCTAGAAGGATACATGTATGCACATTAAATGGTCTAACCCAAGCAAGCTTAAAAATGGATGGACACGCCTAACCCGTTAATAAAAGATTAATTAATTACAAAACATTTGACACAACACATTAATAACCCAACAAACAGATCACCTCTTGTACTTAAATCCAAGCATAACGATGGTGCTTGGAAAAGAAGATACTTTTTCGTAAAATGTGACTCGATTCCTGGTGGAGATCTTTTACCTCAATCTTGGGTTAAAAATAGTAGGGTTCCTTATTTTCATATTGAGGATCCTTGTCACACCCCTTTAAAGCGGAA